GCAACACACATCCAAATTATGTATTTTATAAATAAGTAAATAACATGATTTCATTCAAACAGTGACGGAAACACATTGACCTTTATAAAACTTGATCCTACCGAAAAGGGTACACCCACAGAAGGTGTCAGACTGCCTCATTATAACTTTGTAGGTTGCAAGATGTGATGACTTCTGCTTTAAGATGCGGCTTTGGCTTCTGAAGAAGTACATAAGTGCCGTTTATCTGAATGGGATTTTCTCTTCTGGAACATGTGCGCAACTCGATTTCAGAATACTACGAGAACAATAACAACGAAGTTAGCCACTTTATAAACATCTTCACCACACATGTGAACACGTTTGGTTAATTTTGTGAAACATTTGGGAATTTTTAGAACATCTAGTAGAGTTATTTCTGCTAACTGTGTTTTAGTTGCTTAAGATGTTTCACAAATCGTCACGAGTTATGAAATCTGAAGAATGATCTCCATCATCATCATTTCACAAGTAATGAGTTTCTTAACACCTTCCGCTAACACTAGAATAACTTGAGACATTTTAGCTGTTGCCTGGAAATTTTGGAAACATTTTGTACTATGAACTAAAATGGCAACTGTATCGTATAGCAATTTAAGTCTTACCTGTGCAGTGTTCAAGTCATCAAGTGGTACTGTTTCGACATTCTGGGGTTGATGTTGACTTTTTCTTGGCTTCTTAAGTTTGAGCATTAACAGACCTAAAGTAGCACATAATTTTTTGGTTAAGTTATCATCATGGAATGAATATAATACACATGCATAATGAAACAATGCATTAGTGCATTTCAAAGAAACTCTTCATAAAGGAATACACTAAACTTTTACATGTAAATGACACTGAGGAGATTCATTTGAGCATGTGATCATGTTAATTAATTAATAATTATTATTATTTTATGTATTTTCAACTTTTTGAAGTCTTTTTTCAACTTGATTGTATCTCAGAAATCTCACCTATTGCAATGATCAGCAAAATGTTGAATAGGAAGGATGTAACAGTCAGAATCTTGTGAATCTTGAGGGTTGTTTCACCTTGTGATTGTGCATGATTGTTGTATTCTGTTTGATTTTGATCTCGGATAGATTCTGTATAATTGTATAAGTTTTGCATTTTTATTGCCAATAAATGATTAAACACCTCTGATAAGGGTAAAAGTATATATTGCAGTAACACAGATAATAATTAGTTTTTAGATAATTTATAATATAAGTAGTATATACATATAACAGCAAATTTGATGTGTTAATTGCAGTTGACTTAGAAGTAACTTACCAGTGATGTAAAGTCTGATGCCATCGCTGAGCTCTAGAAATGAGCCTGTTTTTACACAATAATATATTCCTAATTCATT